TTGGTGGACGTCCATTCCCAGGATTCCTCAGCCAACCATGGTCTATCTCACTGTTTCTCAACCTTGGAAGATTGGTGGACGTCCATTCCCAGGATTCCTCAGCCAACCATGGTCTATCTCACTGTTTCTCAACCTTGGAAGATTGGTGGACGTCCATTCCCAGGATTCCTCAGCCAACCATGGTCTATCTCACTGTTTCTCAACCTTGGAAGATGGGTGGACGTCAATTCCCAGGATTCCTCATCCTTCCATGGTCTAGCTCACTGTTTCTCAACCTTGGAAGATGGGTGGATGTCCATTCCCAGGATTCCTCATCCATCCATTGTCTAGCTCACTGTTTCTCAACCTTGGAAGATGGGTGGACGTCCATTCCCAGGATTCCTCATCTATCCATTGTCTAGCTCACTGTTTCTCAACCTTGGAAGATGGGTGGACGTCCATTCCCAGGATTCCTCAGCCAACCATGGTCTATCTCACTGTTTCTCAACCTTGGAAGATTGGTGGACGTCCATTCCCAGGATTCCTCAGCCAACCATGGTCTATCTCACTGTTTCTCAACCTTGGAAGATGGGTGGACGTCCATTCCCAGGATTCCTCATCCATCCATGGTCTATCTCACTGTTTCTCAACCTTGGCAACCTTGGAAGATGGGTGGATGTCCATTCCCAGGATTCCTCAGTCAACCATGGTCTATCTCACTGTTTCTCAACCTTGGAAGATTGGTGGACATCCATTCTCAGGATTCCTCAGCCAACCATGGTCTATCTTACTGTTTCTTAACCTTGGCAAACTTGGAAGATGGGTGGACATCAATTCCCAGGATTCCTCAACCAACCATGGCCTATCCTGCTGTTTCTCAACCTTGGCAACTTGAAGATGGACGGATGTCCAAAACTGAATTCTGGGAGTTGACATCTTCACCTTCAAGTTGTCAAGATTGAGAAACGTTGAACTATCTGACCTAAATTGCTGGTGCTGATTGCTTGTTCATCGTGGACCACCACTTCTGCTGCACTGCAACCACTACAAAGGACTTTCAACCAACTGCACAAGGAAGCCCGCTAATCTCCCAGCAGATGTCCTTCAGAGGCAGCCACACCGCTATGAAGGCTTCTCCACCACTTGAATTTTTAAGAACACAGTCACTTCTCATGGATGGTTGAAGAATGATTTTGATGCCCCTCTAGGTTGAAGGCTGGCCTAGTTGACCTTTAGCAACCATCCATCCCCACAATTTGATCATCTCCATTTCTTCTCAATGAACGGGGAGAACATTGCTTACTTATTTACCACTTACGCCATTCCCATTTGCAAACTAATGAAGTTCAGCCCAGTTCAGAAGAAGCTGTACGCTTGATCACCACCTTAAAATATCAAGAAATAATTGCTAGAGGACCTGCGGGAAAGGATCTCTTGCTAAACCGAGATGGGATCATCCCATAAGGGATTAAACTGGCGTTAAGACGAGGAACCCAAGGAAGAAATAAGCAGTTGCCCCCCAGACTAAGGTCCCTTCATCCCACAAGGAGGTGGAAGTCCTTGTGAAATCGTTTCAGAGCCTCGTGGCTCGCATTTCCCCTTTTTGAAAAGATGAACAAGCAACTCGCCATCTCAGCTGCTTCTTGCCCTGCCAAGAAACTGTAAGCATGTTGGAAAGCGACTATATACACAGAAGAGTCTCAGTTTCTTAGGAAGAGTGAACAGTTCTGTCAAAAATCCACCGTTCATATTTGAAANTGTATTGTATAAATGTGGTGTACGTCTAAGTTTTATGTGTGTGTATTTTATATATTTGTTAATAAAAATATATTAAAAAAAAGAAAGTTACAATGGCAACGAAACAAGTGATTTAAGACCATGTCTCATACTTAGATTGAGACCAGGGGTCGACAACCTTAAACATTCAAGTAGGCATGGCCAACTTGATATCACTCATGTCAAGAGGCATCTCACTGGTCTCTACTAGCCCTCCCCAAGCCCGCCAAGGGTCCTTAGGGCCCCAACAGGAAGCAGTTGCTGGAGCTAACCAGCCACCGCGAGAAAAAGTTGGCAAAACAGCTCCGTTCAAATTGGATCTAGCCAAGAAGGAGGCTCAGCAGAAGCACCTCACTGAGGACTAGGAGCATAGGCTTTCCAAGCAGGGGGAAGACCTGTGGCAGTGCAAGGCCAGGTACCGGCGCCAGGAGGCTCAGCGAGCTGAGATGGTCAGCCAGTTCCAGGCCACGATGCAGTCCCACTGGAACGAGGCCCTCCGGGTCTTTGCCACTTAAACCGCTGGCCTAAATGAATGTTTCTCAATTGCGGCCGCTTTAAGAAGCGTGGACTTCAACTCCCAGAATTCCATGGAGTCAACAAAACATTTCCACAAGGAACCACCAATAGCGTGCTGCTAAATAAAGACAATTGAATACCTGTTATATTCCGGAGATAAAGTGGAACATAGTTTAATGTGTTTGGCTTAGCCATGAATGAAAACATGGGTGAGGTGAACTACTTTTAGCCAACTTCCATTTTATCAGCCTAATAAATTTCATTCAGACATAGAGTTGACCTACAACTTACAGGTCGGCTTAATTCACCTCTGGTCATTCACCTTCACCTGCTCTCGGGCGTGAAAGTCACCATCTCTGCAGCCCATCGGCTTAACAGCACAATTGCACTGTTCATCTAAGAATGGAGCCTCCAACTTTAAGACTTGTGGACTTCAACTCCCAGCATTCCTCAGCCAGGCTGGCTGAGGAATGCTGGGAGCTGAAGTCCACAAGTCTTAAAGTTGCCAAGTCTTAAAGTTGCCAAGTCTTAAAGTTGCCAAGCTTGGAGACCCCCTTGTGGGTCAACCCTGTGTCTAAATGAAGTTCTAAGACCAGAAGGAGCAAGTCAAAGGGGTGTGGCCAGAGGACCTGGGTGGAGCTAAGGGCCGAGATGGGCAGGGCACAGCATTAAAACAAGGCTCACTATTTCATCAGAACGATAAGATATAAACGCCACCAACGGTCAAATTCGACTCATGCCAAAGAAGCATTCTCCCAACCCAGCCAGAGAAGACACAGCTGCACCCACACACAGATGGCAACGATGATTTGAACTGCAACCTACCAACGCTGGTGATTTTCTGGGTAGCCAAATCGTGCAGCAAGGTGCCAATCGCCGGGTTGTGCCTGGAATACAGCTCGTACCGGTTAATGCCAATGTGGAATTTGAGCCAATTTGGGTAGGAATCGACAGACGTTTCGCCCGTGGGTAGGAAGTCCTCGTCTTCATTCCCTTCGTTTTGCCTGTTGAAAACAAACGAGAGACAGATACAAGAGAGGTTAGGTTTTGTTCACAGGCCGGCAACGGATTTTGCAATTCTTTGGGGTCACCCATGCCAACCTAATATGATGTTCCAAATTGTGACCAGACAAATGCGCGCACAACAAAAGCGTGCCGACGAAACCGCGGCGAGAAAACCGTGATGTCATTAGTGCGCCTACAACAACGCGCCGACAAAACCGAGGTGGCGCAGTGGTTAAATGCAGCACTGCAGGCTACTTCAGCTGACTGCAGTTCTGCAGTTTGGCTGTTCAAATCTCACTGGCTCAAGGTTGACTCAGCCTTCCATCCTTCCGAGGTGGGTAAAATGAGGAGCCGGATTGTTGTTG